TATACTTTTGTACTGTGGTCACCAGATGCTTGGAGGTTTTCCCACACCAAGCAGTTCTGCAGCTACGGGATACCAAAGTTCCACACTTCAATTCCGTCCTGATACTATGAACCTGGAGTTAGCAGGAGATCCCACAGGTTAAGAGCTTGTTCACATAAGACTGCCCACCCCTAGCTTCAGCCTCAAATTGGAAGCACTTCTGATTGGCTATAAATCAGAGGTTCCCACAACCTTTCCCTCTGGTTCCATTAATTTGCCAGAGTGGCTCACAGAACTCAGGAAAACAGTTTACCCACTAGATTACCAGTTTGTTACAAAGGGTATTAAAATATATGAACGGACTTAAATTATTAAGGAGGGAACCAACAGTAAAATAAAGCTGATTTGAGTTGGAGATGAGAAATGAGTAAGTATAGACAATGTAAAAACCAATGCAGGAGGGGCACCTGGGTGGCTCAGTTGGCTGAGCGTTCAACTCTTGCTTTGGGCTCAGGTCATTATCTCAGGGTCCTGAGATGTGAGATCCTGAGATTGAGCCTCGAGCTCTGCCTTGGGTTGGGCTCTGCACTCACCAGGGAGTCAGTTTGAGATTCTTTCACTCCCTCTCCCTCTGCCCCTCCCCTTACTCCTGTGCCTGTGTGCATGCATGTGCTCTTTGTCTCAAATAAATAAACTTTATGGGCAGCCCCAGTGGCACAGTGGTTTAGGGCCGCCTGCAGCCTGGAGTGTGATCCTGGAGACTCAGGATCCTGCGTCGGGCTCCCTTCATGGAGCCTGCTTCTCCCTCTGCCTGTGTCTATGCATCTCTTTCTCTCTGTGTCTCTCATGAATAAGTAATAAAAAATCTTAAAAAAAAAATAAACCTTAAAAAAAAAAAGAAATGCAGAGGGACACCTAGGTGGCTCAGTGGTGGGGCATCTGCCTTCGGCTTGCATCAGGGGATCGAGTCCCGCATTGGGCTTCCTGTGGGCTTCTCTGCCTATGTCTCTGCCTTTTTCTGTGTCGCTCATGAAGAAATAAATAAAATCTAAAAAAGGTGGGGGGGGGGATCCCTGGGTGGCTCAGCGGTTTATCGCCTGCCTTTGGCCCAGGGCGCTGTCCTGGAGTCCTGGGTTTGAGTCCCACGTCGGGCTCCTAGCATGGAGCCTGCTTCTCCCTCTGCTTGTGTCTCTGCCTCTTTCTCTCTACCTATCATGAATAAATAAATAAAATCTTTAAGAAAAAAAGAATGTAGAAATTGGGTTGGAAAGTTTGATACAAAACTGATTAATAGCATTCAGGGTTGTCTTTCCTGCCAGACAAAAACCATTTGAAACTTGAGAATCCCCCATAACTTTTCAGAGTCTAGACTTTAATCAATTAGGTAGGAAGTCAAAGTAACATCTAGAATGTCAGAAGGGCTTGATAGACAATTTTAGCGTTCTGGGAAAACACTGAAAAGGCATGGAGAAATCTTGCCTCATGGGATTTGCTTATGTTCTCATTTTCTTCATTAATTAAAAGCAGTTGGCCCTCTTCCAGAATTCTGGAATGGCCTGAGGAAGCTTCAGAGATGGTGCCAGCTGGAGACCACAGCTTGAAAGTACAGGGTCCTTTCTTCTTTTTTTTTTTTTTCGGGGGTCCTTTCTTCAATGTGGTGTAAGGTCTCAACGAGTGTTGTTTCTTTTCTTTCTTTTTTTTTAAAGGTTTATTTTTTTATTTTATTTATTTATGATAGTCACAGAGAGAGAGAGAGAGAGAGAGGCAGAGACCCAGGCAGAGGGAGAAGCAGGCTCCATGCACTGGGAGCCCGATGTGGGATTCGATCCCGGGTCTCCAGGATCGCGCCCTGGGCCAAAGGCAGGCGCCACACCGCTGCGCCACCCAGGGATCCCACCAGTGTTGTTTCATCCATAACTAGAATACATGGGGTTCAGAAATCAAGGCAGGGAAGGGGAAAGATGATTTGGTGTACTTTCTTTTTCATTCTTTTTTAAAAATATTTTTTTAATTTTTATTTATTTATGATAGGCACACAGTGAGAGAGAGAGAGGCAGAGACCCAGGCAGAGGGAGAAGCAGGCTCCATGCACCGGGAGCCCGATGTGGGATTCGATCCTGGGTGTCCAGGATCGCACCCTGGGCCAAAGGCAGGCGCCAAACCGCTGCGCCACCCAGGGATCCCCTTTTTCATTCTTATAGCTCTACTCATCTGGTGTTAAAACTTTTGTTTAGTTAAAAGCATGTGCCAACATCTTATTACAATCATGCATGCAAGGGAAAAAAAAAGATCTCTTGTGAGTGAATTAGGAACATTTTTTGGTGGAATGCCTGGGTGGCTCAGTGGTTGAGCATCTGCCTTCTGCTCAGGGCGTGATCCTGGGTTGGGGGATATAGTCCCGTATCAGGCTCCCTACGAGGAGCCTGCTTCTCCCTCTGCCTGTGTCTCTCCTTCTCTCTTTGTGTCTCTCATGAATAAATAAGTAAAATCTTAAAAAGAAAATATTCTTGGTAAGGACATTTCATGGGAGAAGAGAATGGTTAACTATCATGAGATGAGAGACAAGATACAGAAGAAAGAAAAGATTGAAGAGTATGATTCTTGGGGATCCCTGGGTGGCTCAGCAGTTTGGCGCCTGCCTTTGGCCCGGGGCGTGATGCTAGAGTCCTGGGATTGAGTCCCACATCAGGCTTCTTGCATGAACCTGCTTCTCCCTCTGCCTATGTCCCTGCCCCTCTCTGTCTCTCTGTCTCTCATGAATAAATGAATAAAATCTTAAAAAAAAAAAGAAAAAAGAAAAGTATGACTCTTGACAGGCAGGCAGTCAGCTGTCAAGTGGGTGGACCTCTAGTTTCCCAGAGCTAATTTCATACCATCAAAATTCATTAGAAATCAACTTGAATATTTTTTATCAGGAAATCTAATTATTTCACTGAAGGAGGTTGTAAATAACTTTTTTTTTTTTAAGATTTTATTTATTTGCTCATGAGAGACAGAGAGAGAGAGAGGCAGAGACACAAGCAGGAGAAGCAGGCTCCATGCTGGGAGCCCAATGTGGACTGGATCCTGGGACTCGATCCTGGGACTCCGGGACTCGATCCTGGGACTGGATCCTGGGACTGGATCCTGGGACTGGATCCTGGGACTCCGGGATCACGCCCTGGGCGGAAGGCAGGCGCTAAACCTCTAAGCCACCCAGGGATCCCTAGTTGTAAGTTACTCTTAACAAAAAGCTTATGTCCCAGACCAGGTTTGGGACATATTTTATTTAGGTAGGTTTAATATACTATGAAGTGATTTGGTGCTTTCACCTGCAAATTTATTTCACACCACATGAGGGTTTTGTTTTCTGTTCCTGGAACGTAAATGGTCCTTTTCTTGCCCAGGTCTGAAATAAGCTATTTCCTCCGTCTGGAACTTTCTCTTCTTCTTCCTATCTCAAATAACCCTGCCCTGGGTGCGCCCTCCTCTCCAGGTAATAAAGGCTCCCTTTAAAGTGCCAGTCTCGGGATCCCTGGGTGGCGCAGCGGTTTAGCGCCTGCCTTTGGCCCAGGGCGCGATCCTGGAGACCCTGGATCGAGTCCCACATCGGGCTCCCGGTGCATGGAGCCTGCTTCTCCCTCTGCCTGTGTCTCTGCCTCTCTCTCTCTCTGTGACTATCATAAATAAATAAAAATTAAAAAAAATAAATAAATAAACTGCCAGTCTCCCCTCCCCCACCACTCCGGGGCATTACCAGTTTTTAAGCTCCAGGAAGGTAGAAACTGTTCCCCTCGCCCATCACACAGCTTGGCACTGTACAAGGAGCTCATAAAAGTACTGAACAAAGATCCTTGGATATAAACAGGACTGAACGAATTTTTGCAGGAGACAACGGAAGGCTTCGCCACTGATTAAAATTCTTGAGGCTCTCTTTATGGCTAATACTATGATTTTTAAAAAAATCTTATTTATTCATGAGAGATACAGAGAGAGAGAGGCACAGACACAGGCAGAGGGAGAAGCAGGCTCCATGGCAGGAGCCCGACGTGGGACTCGATCCCCAGCCTCCAGGACCACACCCTGGGCTGAAGGCGGCGCTAAACCGCTGAACCACCAGGGCTGCCCTAACACTATGATCTTAAGACAATTATTTAAACCCCAGGATTCAGCTAAATGGGAGTAGTAGTTCCTCTTAGTACAGCTGTGAGGGTCTTAGTCCAGCTTTACGCTTGCACACCGTTTGAACCAGGTCGATCGCTCCCTCGTGAAGCACTTATTGCGAAACTTCCCGGTACCACGCTCCAAGTTCTGAAACTTCCCGGAGGCAGTACCAAGGCCCGCCTCTCTCGCACCGCCCTAGGTGACGTCACCGACCGAGGTCTCTAATGACGTCAGCTCCGGGCCGGCTCGGCTCCATCCTCCCCTTCTCCGGAAACCTACAACTCTCGGCACCCGGCCTCCAGCTTTCGGTTATTTTTTTTTCTCTTCGTAGCCCGAATTCCTTCCCTCCCATTCTCCCACCTAAAACTTTCAGCTCTTCCCGCCTTCCCTCAAGCTGGCAATTTTCGGTTCTTCCCGCTTGCTCTCGGCCAAACTTCCCACTCTTTTACTCTGTAAATCGCCTTCCGAGCCCCGCCCTTCGGCCTTTTCCGTCTAAATCCCTCTTTCGGCTAATTCCGCCTCCTGCCGTCCACCTCGGATGCCGCCTTCGGCTCCTTCCGGATCGCCTCAGTTCCTTGTTTTTCTCCCCCCAACTCCGTCCTGGTCCGCTTCGGCTATCTCCGGCTCCCGCGGCTTTCCATCTATCCTTTAGCCACACCCACGCCGCTACCTTCGGCTCTTTCCGCTCCCCCCCGTCTCCCGCTCCGGCGCTTTCGGCTCTTTCCGCCTTGCTTCGGCCTCACTCTCTCCCTTCGGGTCTTTCCGCCGCCCTTCGGGAGCGGGCCGGTGCCCCTCTCCACGTGACGCCGCCTCCGCCTCCTCCTCCTAGTTCCCCCTCCCACCTCGCCCTTCCTCCCGCCTCAGCCTCCCGGCTCCTCCGGGCCGAGCCGCCATTTTGTGTGAATTTCTGACTGCGGCGGGGGCCGAGCAGCCGGGGCACCGAGGGCGGGCAGACAGACAGACAGTCGGCCCGTCTCCGCAGCCCGTTTCCTCTCCTTAAAATCCTTTTTTTTAACCCCCTCGCTCGCTCTCCTCTTCTCCCCTCTCCCCTCGCTTGCTCCATCGCGCGCGGCCCGCGCTAATTACACCCAACCACCCACCAGTGTCCGTGTCCCCCGGGCCCCCCGCCTGTGGGCCCGCGGGGGAGGCGTGTGTGGGGGCTCTCGCTCCGATGAGGGCCCCGCGCCCGTGAGCGAGTGACCCCAGGGGCGGGCTGCGGAGAAAGGCGGCGAGCGGCCCGCCGAGGCCTAGGCCGCGCGGCCTACGCGGAGGTCGGCGCAGAGGTGATTCCGAAACCGAAAAAATATATACCCATTCCTATCAGGAGCCCTCAGAGCTGAAGTGTGCCCCTCCCGCCACGCCCAAGCAGTCCTTTTTCGTGCATTAACATCCCCTCCCCCCCAAAGGAACTATGGAGGCCGCGCCCGGGACCCCCCCGCCGCCACCATCAGAGTCGCCGCAGCCGCCATCGCCGCCGCCGCCATCAACGCCTTCGCCTCCTCCGTGTTCCCCCGACGCCTGCCCGGCCGCCCCGCACCTCCTCCACCACCGCCTCCCGCTCCCTGACGACAGGTCAGGCCCCCGGCCCGGCCGGGGCAGCGTCCCCGGGGGGAGGAAGAGGAGGAGGAGGAGGAGGAAGGGGGGCGGCCGCCATGTTGGGCCGGGCCGCGGAGGAGGAGGAGGAGGAGGAGGAGGAGAGGAAGGGCGGGGTCGGTGGGTGTCTCTCGCTCGCTCGCTCGCTCTTTCTCGCTTGCTTTCTCTCCTGGCCTCATGCGTTTCCCCCCCCTCGCGGCGCTCGCCCGCTCTCCCTCGCTCTCGCTCTGTCTTTTTTGGGCGCCATGCTGAGGGGAAGGTGAGGAGGCGCCCCCGGACCCCCGCGCCCGCCCGCCCGCCCTGGGGAGGGGGCGCGGGGGGGGGCGCTGCGGAGGCCCACGGGGGTCCTGGCTGCCCCAGCACCCGGAGCTGGCAGCCATGGGCCCGCCTGCCTGTCGCCTGGCTTCGGGGAAGGGGATGGGGGAGGGGCTCCCGGACCCTTTTGGTGGTGGTGGGGATCTCGAGGACTATCCCCGCTCTTAGGGGTTTGGAAGTTGGGGGTCTCCCAGCCCCTGGCAGTATCCTTTCTCTTGGGGGAGGTGTGCCCTGCCCTACTTGGAGAGGTACCCTAGTTTTCTTAGGCAGAAAGTGGGGTTTCGTTTAGTCCTTTTTTCATCTTTTTAGTGGGGGGGTCTTAGGGTGGGGGCACTCGCACTTTTTTTTTTTTTTTTTTGGCGGGAGGTGGTTCCTAGTTATTCCCTAGAGGGCAAAATTGGTGGTGGTGGGGGGTGCGGATCTCTAGCTCCTTTGATGGAAATCCCTGCCTCCTTTTGGGGAGAAGCCCCTTCCCCGTATTTTTCCTTAAAGGCAAGGGTTCTCTAGATTTTCGTAGGTAGATGATGCGTTTTTGGAGGGGTGGGGGGGTGAGGTTTGGTTTCCCTGACTTGGAGGGGAGAGGAAGTTGGTCTCTTCTTTCTCATGGGTTCCCTCCTCTTTGGGGCTAAAATGGGGCGCCATCCCTTCCGGGAGAGAAAATGAGGGGTTTTTTTAGTGTTTTGGCAGGGGTGAAAAGGGAGCGCCCCCCATCCCTTCCTCTTTATAAAGTGCGAAATGGGTTCGCCCCACGCCCTTCTCTGGAGGGTGATAAAAGGGCCAGCCCGGCGCGTTTCAGGGCTCTCGTTTGCCCTGCTCCAGCAGAGGGTTGGGTGCGGGGTTTACCCTCCCTTTCCCGGTGGGGCAGAGGAAGAGGTATCTAGAGACTGGGTTTGGAAATGGAAGGTTTTCAGCCGGCAGGAAAGGCAGCCTGAGGAGGAGTGGGGGTGGGGAGAGGAAGCGATCTCGCTGGACAGATAGATGGCTGCCCCACAGCAGCCCGGGCTGGGGAGCCGCTTGAGGACCCTCTCCTAGATCAGGGGTTTTAGCTAGGGCTTCCTTGCCAGGCACCATGGCCCCTTCTCCCCACTTCCACCTCCCCTTTTCCCTTTCTCCTTCACAGACCATACTTTGCCTTTTAAAAGAAATGCCACCCACATTCAGAGACACAAGTGCAGCAGTTTGGTGAGCTTTTACAAAAAAATTTTTTTTTTTTTTTTTTTTTTGTTTTCTGTTTTGTTCTAATTAAATGTATCGTCCTGGGAATCGCAGCCCATCGCAGCCTGCCTCCAGTTCAAGGAAATAAACAGATTAGCAAAGGTCTGTGCGCTAAGCCCACGTTGGGTTTCCGGGCCCCCTCTTGGGGGCAGGTGCATTACTCAAAGGTGCTTACACGCTTTATTCGACCTCTAAGGAGTTCTCTTATGTCAGAAGTGTATGTCTTACAATGGGTTGGGATGGTAAGTAGCCTCTTTTATTGAGTAATTCAATTATCTCCCTCTTTTTTGTCCCTTTTCCTGCCTGCCTTCCTCCTGCCTTTAAAGACCAAAGTGATGCTTGAGTGAATTTATATGTTCGAATCAGGATTCTAACCCAGTTGAGCCCTTTTAGACTTGCACATCCTTTCGATCTTTAGTTTTTTTAATTTGTCGTACACAGTTTTCTCAAAGGAAAAAAAAAAGCGTTACTGTAACATGACAAAAACTTAATGTAAAAGGCCCGTAGGTTTTCAAGCCCTTGGTTTCCCTGTCTCCGTTTCAGTCCATTGCTTTGTCTCCAGCCTTCATCTTTGAAGAAAGTGGATACTTCAGGTCCATTTGGTAGGAGACAAGGTTAACTGAATTTGGTTTATGATACTTGCATTCGAGTTAAGGTTCTCCCCTCCCTCCACCCCTACTACTACCCCCCCCCCCAAAAAAAGATTGTGGTTCAAGTAGATCCAATTTGTTCCTTTTACTCCCAATGTCTCTTATGGTGATGGACGTTTAAATTGAGCAAGTCATTTGTAAAGTACTGTTTAAGCACCGAATCTGTAAAGCGTGTCAAGCCCCAATCTCCTCTCCCTGTCTCCACTGTTCCTTTGTTCGAAAGCACATGCCTGACCGTGAAAAGTTGATGCAAACACGCCCAGTCATGGTGGAGAGAACACTTCCTCCAGCCCCCTGCACCCCCCTCCCCACACATACAAGATAAAAACAGCAACAGAAATGACTTGCAGAACCAAACAAGTACTTCTGATGTGTTTTACAAGCATAAGTTCTTCGTTAAAAGACAAAACACGTTGAAGTTCCATTTTCCGTCTTGCCCACTTTTGGTCCCTAATGTACTTTGGTAGCAAAAACTTTATAACACACAGCCCCATTTTCCCCTCTGAAAGATCCTGTTTCCATTTTTTTTTTTTTTTCATTCTTAGGAGAAAAACAAAAGTTCACTCACGTTGGGTTGAGGAACCTTAAGCTGCAATTTAGTGGGCCACTGGTCTTACTCTTTTCTCTCCATATGCTCACAGCTCCACTAATGTGAAGTGGTGATCTTAGGTCTGTAAAATCAGTTGTGAGAGGAAGACGTGTCCACACAGTACAGTATCCTGCAAAAAAGAAAAGAAAAATGTTTGAAGCACAAACTGAACACACCATCCAGTGCCAGGGTCAGCCGAAAACGAATTGCATTTGAAGTTGTCCCTCCTTGGTAAAATTCCTCCTCTAGGAGCCAAGTGAGAAACTGGATGTTAACAGGTGAACCTTCCAAGTTTTGAGGGCAACCAAGTTGTTGAAGGATGCTTGTTTAACTTGACTTGAAAATGAAATGTGAAGGAAATGGGATTTCTTTTGTAAGTGAAAATTTTATCAGTCATTCATTGAACTTAGAAGTATTTCCCCAGATGTTTAAAAAATACTCAGGCATAGCAACACAAGGGTATATTGTTTTTTGTTCTCAAAGGACTCTCCTCTATGAAAACCAAGAAGCCCAGTAATTAGGTCAAACTGTATTTCGATAGTCTTTGTTTTTGGAATGTCACAGTACTGCCTTTTTTTCCCCCAAAACTGATGTACCAGTACTAGTTAAAATTCAAATTAATGGATGTTGCAAAAAAAAAAAAAAGAGAAAAAGGGTGTCACTCAGAATCCCTGATTTAATAGCACCTCTTAGACACTGGAAATCTTTAAAAATTGTTACATTCTCTGGGGAGAGGTTTAATCGGAAAGCAAATAAAGATATCCCAGTAGAAATACTAACGAATTGTGACCATGAAAATATAGATATTCTGGTCCTCAAGCCCCTTTACTTTTTGCTCTCCTCAAATTTTTTCTTCAAAGAAAGTTCGGATTCCCCCAGCAAGGCTTTCTAATTCACAGACTGTCCTATCTCCCAGATTGGGTTTCAGTTTGCTTGGAAGGTTAAGTTTTTGGTTCTTGACAACCCAGGATTTTAAGTACAGCTAGTCTTCTTTTAAGTACAGTGTCTTCTAGAAAGACACTTCTGTGGCTTTTCCTTAGCCAGGAAGGCTGATCCCAGGGGGGAACTGTTAGGCATCTGTGGAGATGAAGGCTTTCCCAGGTGTTACCTACCTGGCAAAGTAGAGATGAATGATTTACTCAGTTTGTTTCCATCCAATTGAATGTAGACAATTTCATATTGAGCTGGTTTAGTAATTTATCCTCTAACAATGTCTCCACCTCCGCTCCTTTCTCTTAGATCTTTTCCCAGCCCTGGAGGAATGGAAGTCTTAGGATGGCCTTATTTGCTCTTCTCTGCTACGTTTTTGTGGTTAAGTCCCTAGAACCATCTCGTATAAGCCAGGTTCAGTTATGGCAAATGCCTATATGGTGAAAATCACTAATTCTTTTCAGTCTTCTGTGGATAGCTCTAGGTCGAACCATATTCCAGAGAACCTGCTTTTGGCCCCTGTGGACAAAATTGTCTAGTACCGAAGCGATGGGTTTTGACCCAGGGTAGGAAGTTGAGTGACAGTAATTCAGAGCAAACAGTAAGTGAATGCCGCGTTTCAAAGTGAGCAGAGTGCTTGCCTGTACTTTTACCACACAGCTCCTGATACAATAGAAGAAAGGCTGTTTTCTAGGGTTTCTGATAGTTGGCTTTTAAGAAGTTGATTCAAGCATCGGTAGGAGTGGTCTGCTCATCAGTGGTGGGAGTCTTGTCAGAATTAATGATTTGAGGCTGGTTTCATAATTAAAATCTAATTGAAAGAGTGGAAAAGCTGCCTGTTTGGGCCTATAAAGTTCATTTGGTTAAGTCCGAGGTAAAACTGGCTGTGTGCAGTGAGCCAGATTTTAGATTTTCAGGGATTTGGCTTTCCATATTTATCAACCTTGTCTTTGCTGCGCAAATATTTTACTTTTGATAGTTACTGGAGATGGCAGTCCTGAAAACATTGCACAGGATTTCTTAGTAATAACAGGAGATTATGTGGGCAGTTTTTACATTTCTGACTTGATCAGTTGATGACAAAATGATGGCCCCTTGGTTGGTGTAAACTTAGTTACATCCTGCTATTGGAATAATTTTTTATTCCAATACCAGATATTTGCTGGGAGCATAGTTTGGTTCTCTTGGCCAAATTGCTCAGGGTAGAGAATCTTTCTTGTTTTTCTCCCCCCTTTGTGAATTTGTATCTGTGAATTGGTGACTCAGATCCCTATTTGTAA